GCAGTGGAAAATTCCAGTCCCTTTTATTGAATGAGAAACAGCGACTTTCCCTGGCAGTCCCAGGGGAGAGCCGCAGGGGGAGAAGGCAGCCGGAATGTGCCCTGCTGGCCCCACGAGGCTCCGGTCCCAGGTCTGAGCAAACAGCTTGGCTGCCGGCCTTGTTGCCTGACCCATCCAGGAAGCCTCACAAGCTCTTTCCCCGGCTCGGAGTTGACCATCCTTCTGGGGCTCTTCCTGCAGCTCCAAGCAAGGTCACGCCCTGAGGTTTCAGAACAAACGTGGCCTCCAGGACAACTTGACCAGAGAAGAACTTAGTCTCCTAGGTTCTCACCTCTGTGCCGGGACACCCCCCCCACACACTGAAAAGGGCCGACTGGTTGCTGTCCAGCCTGACTCCCGGTAACCCTGTGTGTGTCCCAGCAGGGCTGTGCTTCACAGAGTTCTCAACGGCTTTCCAGAGGAGATTGCCAGCCCTTTCTTCCGAAGCACCTCTGGGTGGAATCCAACCTCCAACCTCTGGGTTGGAGCCCAATGTGTAACTGTCTGTGTCCCCTAGGAACTCCTGACCAGAAAACAGGCTAAAATCCACACTGGGGCCTCCATACTCCATGGATTTCTTTTTCAATCTTGAATAATTCAGTTGAGCCAAGTAGCAAGAGAGCGGCACTTTTCCATCTCTGGGAGTCACAGGAGAGGGGCTGCTAGCTTTGGGACATTAGGAGCAGGTGGGCAGTGGGATGGGCCAGCTTCAGAGGGGATGGCATGTGGGCAACTTCGAGTGGACATCTAACGGGGAGTCATGGAATTTTAGCAGAGCCTGACCTTCTGTGCCTTCCTTTAAGGGTAGAGTGGGAAGCCTGGTGAGGGACTGGCCAGGCCACTTGGTGGCCCTTCATGGGCCCTGGTGCCATTTCGTGCCTTAGAATATATTTAGCATCCCAGGCTCCCACCCACTCCGGCCAGCGTTGTCCCCAGGCATAGTGACATACTAAAGACAAGCCCTCTCCTGTCTCCCTCCCCTGGGGATCGATCGGGCAGGGCCTCTCCAGAGGTGTCCTCCAGCCAAGGTGTTTGGCCAGAGGCCACTGGGGACTCTCGGGCCAGTGCTCTGGCACCTGGCTCCACCTCCATCATCTCTGCTCGGCGGGGCGTCCAGCAGCCCCCAAGCACGCAGATAGGACCTGAACCCACAGTGGCCCTAGGTGACTATCCGTTTTCCCTCTGTCTAATTCTCTCTCCAGTGGCTGTGGCTGTCTCTCGGGAACAGCCACAGGAGTCAGCTTGGCAACCAGCCCAGAACCAGGAGATTTCTGTAATAATTAGAGATCATTTGGGGTCTAGCTCCCAGGGACAGCACGTGACTAAAGCAGAGCCGTTTCATCTCCTACCCACAGTGTGGGATGGTGAGAGGAGGAATTCTAAAGCTGCCAAGTCCCCACTGACCCCTGGAGCCTGTCCTTTAAGGGGGTGAGGTATGCAGCATGGTGTCAGGGGTGATAATGTTGGGCCCTGTTTTTTAACCCTTGGTATTTACCAACTGTGATCAGTTCACCAAACCCCAGTCTCAAATTTGCTAAAGTAAATGCTATGCCCTTTTCATAGAGCCACCAGGCATGAAGTCTGCCACCGTGTCCTCTCCTTCCTGTCCTCTGATGAGCCCTGCAGCGGCAGCCAGCGGCATGTTGGGGTACTCTGAGGACAAGCTGTGCGTGCTGGAGACAGGAGCACCCCCTTTCTTCCTCAATTCTGTCGGACAGCCCCCTTCAAAGTCTGGGATGGCTTTCCACCCGGCACGTGCCGGGAGAGGAGCAAACAGGTGACCCCTCTCAGTGGTCTGGCTGGACGCTGCCCAGAGCAGGGAGGACAAGAGTACAGGTGGGTTCCACCCGCAGCACCTCCCAGTCCCTCCAGACAGGAGGAGCGTGAGGGAGGAGGGGGAGCGGAGAGGACGGGTACAAGCAGCCCAGTGGGGGGCTGCAGGGGTTAGGGGCGGTGAAGTCTGGGCCCGCAGGTCTTTGTCATCACCTGCTGTGGAGTGAGCATTTCCACTTGACGGTCACTGCACTAGGCTCTTATATGTAGATTATCCTGCGAACCAAGGAGGGTGGCAGCCCTCCCCACCACCGTCCCCTCTCTATCCCTGTCCTCTCATGCAAATCCAATGTCTGATGCCCACCTGAAAAATAGGGTGTAAACAGGTAAAAGCCACATCCGTGTCCAGCTCCCAGGTCAAAGCTGTGCAGGGACACGGCTCACGTGTGGGACTTCCTCTGTCGTTTCTCCACTGCGGTCTTTTTTGCAAAGTCGTGTGTTGATAGCAGACGTTTTTATGCTCTGATTGTGTTATTTTATTACGATCACCGCAATGCCGTCGGCTGCGCGTTTTTACTGACAAGGAAGGTGGTAGGACTGGGATGCAGGATCGGCCCTCTGCAAGCTCACAGTCTTATAGGAAGTATGACCCAAAACAAACAAACAAACAAACCTACTGCCATCGAGTTGATTCTGACTCATAGTGACTACCTTTGGATTTCTGAGAGAGCAAATCCTTACAGAAGTAGATGGCCCATCTTCCTTCCGAGGAGGGGCTGGTGGGTTTAAACCGCCAACCTTCTGGTTATTAGTCAAATGCCTTAGGCACTACGCCACCAGAGCTCCTTTGTAGGAAGGATAAGGTACTCCAAAGCCTCGCCCACACCCATGGAGTCGATTCTGACTCACAGCGCCCCTAGAGGACAGAGTGGAACTGCCCACAGTGTTTCCAAGGCTGTCAATCTTCACAGAAGCTGACTGTGTCGTCTTTCTCCTACAGAGCAGCTGGTGGGTCGAAACCGCCGACCTCTCAGTTAACAACCAAGCCCTTTAACTGCCTCCCACCAGGGCTTTGTAGAAAGTACAGACCAGTGAAATCCAGGGAGGGAACTTTCCAGAATGTGCACATCTACTGAAGGTGAGCTGCTGTTTTAGTCCCACCTCGAGAGAGCTCAGAAGACACTGTGCTCCCAGAGCTGCATCGAGTAATTATGGAATCTACAATCTCCTGGAAGCACTCAGGGATTAGGCTGGAAAGAGATTTTATTTTGAACAACACTCCCTATCACTGGTGCATTTCTATATAGGTAGCCAAAGAACATGTATTTTTATCACCAAATTTTATTCTCCAAACAGCCTTATGGGGTGAGTGGAAAAATGACCCTCAACCCAATTTGCAAATGAGGGAAATAACAAGGGTAGTGAGTGGTGGATTCTGGGAAGGTTGGTTGAGA